CTTTTTTGTAATCCACGATTGGAATTTTTTTGTTTTTTTATATATATATATATTTTTTTGTAATCCATGATCGAATTTTTTGTAATCCATGATCGAATTTTTTGTAATCCATGATTGAATTTTTTTAAAATTTGTGATTTTTTTTTTTAATCCATGATCGAATTTTTTTTGTAATCCATGATAGAATTTTGTGAAAATTTGTGATTTTTTTTTTTTAATCCATGATCGAATTTTTTTTTGTAATCCATGATAGAATTTTTTGAAAATTTGTGATTTTTTTTTTAATCCATGATCGATTTTTTTGAAAATATGTTAAATTTTTTTTTAATCCATATTATTCAAAGACAAAATGAGAGAGATGATGATTCTGAGGCCACCCTATCCCAGCCCTATTATTCACATATCGAGTCCCAACAGCAACAGTGTAGGGATGAGCACGGCAGTGCAGGTGAGCATGAAGGATGGACAAGCTTTGGGGATTTTGGATTGGGAACACAACAAAACACTAACACTCAGGGATTTGAGAATAGTCAGACGCTTGCTAATATCGATGATTTGTTTTTAGATCGAATCAATGAATTGTTAAGCGAATTCAATCAATGGCACCAGCGTGATCAAGAAGAACAATAACGTCGTCTATCATTTTATTTTTAGATCATATGTTACTAATTTTATGCTTTATTGTAGTCCATGTATGTTGATATATTCCATGATAATTCTATGTTTATCCTTTCGTGTGATGTAAATTAAATGCTGAATGACGGTTCATGCAGGGAAAGAATATATCAATATTCCCATATTCATTCAAAAACATGAAAATTCTTAATGGAGTACCCTCATTTCTTATTGAATTCCTAAAAAACAATATTTATAATGAATTTTAATAATTTTTTCGGATTTTTTTTAAGCTTTATTCTGACCGATTCACCCGATTCTCGATCCGGATCGGCAATTCGCCGATCTGGATCGATTTTTTGGGTGCCCGATCCGGGTCACCGATCCGTTTTTTAAACCATTGGTTATAACCATCCAAACCATTAAATCAGGCAGTAGAGAGGGAGTCAGTACCATCAAATCCATCAGTAAATGACTCCGTCATCCAAACCTTGATTGAATGGCGATGATTCTAGTGGTTACAACTTTTCCAGGACCCCATATCCGTCATCCAAACCTTGATTGAATGGTGATGATTCTAGTGGTTACAACTTTTCGAGGACCCCAAATTGAAGGGTTGTAACCTCCTCATACTAGATGATAACGTTGAAATTCTATTCTAAAGCATATTCCGAATTTAAGGAGGTCAAATCAAAGCGTTTGGAAACTTAATTTTTTTTCTTTTTTCAAAATACTTAAAATACTAATTAATTCTAAAGCGGATCTCAAAATTATAGATCTAGAAATGCTTCTAAGTAGAGGGAGCAAGTATACTGCATGCTCCCGCTGGAGCATGCTATCTTTTATACCGAAGCGGACAAGAAAAACGAGGGAATCTCTCCGCTAGCAATGGTACTAAATATTTTTACATGGAAGAGTGTCATTTCCCTTCTTTAAGAGAAAAAGAAGGACGCGGTTAGCATGCGTCGCGTAGGAATGCGGGCTTGGCAATAAATATATTTTTAAATATTATTTGATCTTAATTTTTAAAAAAGGTATAATTTTTAACATAGAGATTATAAATATAAAAAAAATAAATAAAATTTGAAAAATATAAACAACAATTATATTAAAAAAACACGTGGACTGATAGTTATAATTATCTTTAAATGAACCACCTATTGGCATCCATCTTTAAGATGGATGCTTTATACCTCACCACATATTGTACAAATGTGGTGAAGCACTTGTTTGAAAAAGAATCATACTTTTCCAGAAATTGGGAATCTTTTTAATGGTTTGTTTTTTTGTTTCTTCACATATTTCAT